GTCTCACCACAGAAGCCTGGTGTCAGCATAGGGATGTGAAGAACAGACATGGATGTTGGACCAGGGCCACACAGCTGTAAGAGCAGCCAGGAGGAATGGTCTCAGTCTAGAGCCATAGGCTCCAAATTTTTTTCCTCCTCTTCAGCACAGACATATCAGTTCAGAGGTGGTGGTGTAGGTCTGCTGTTCAGGCTCATCCACAGCCCACTGAGTGCTCTGGTTTTAGCCTTTATGCTGACGTAGATCCATGGGACTAAAGTCTCCCTCACTAGTTACCCTTTCTTTGTGAATCATAGAGGCTTTTGGAAACAGTTGTACAGCTGCACCTTAATTGAAAGCATTTTAGAAAGCATGAGACTTCTATTTTCCTTCCCTTTCAAAAAGCCGTTGTTACACACACCAGTCTGGAGCGTGTGCCCAGTGCTGGCTCTGCTGCGCTTGCCTTGCTGGCCACGTGTGCACCTCACAGGGAAACGGCTACATGCTGAGAATTTGGGTTTGAGCACGCGATGCGCAGCAGGTAACACGGCTGTGACTCCAGAATTTGGAAATGCGAGTCACAAACCAAGGTCTCGTTAGGCAGCAGTGCCGTCCCTGTGCTGCGGCGCTGCCCTCGCCTGGCCAGACGGCAGAGCAGCGGCAGAAGCTCGGTACAGAGCCCGGGGAACGGCTGCAGTGCCACGGGCTCTGCCATCCCCCATCCCCCACGATGACGTGTAGTTTTGCAACTATTTGCTTCGCAGTTTTCTGCTAACTCGACAAAACGCTGTTTTCTGTTGTTGCATCTGAACTATTCGAAGCAAGGCAAGGGCAAAGTATGACTTTTGTCAAAGCTGTTTTCAGGAAAGGTTCAGATCCAGGTTTTGGTTTAACAGAATGACTGTAAATTTGTAGATGGAGACAAAAGCAGTTATTCTCTTTTGCTGTGTGTCATCTCAAAGCCATACTTGGTTGTTAAGAGCTGTATTTACTTTGTCTTGCACTCCATGACTTACCAAAAGTGGCAGTTGATAACAGATGGGTGGAGAGACTCCAATGACCAGATTAATGTGGGAAAAGAAAAATAAGCATTTTGTTTCAGCCCTTCACCTGAATAGAGTGTGGGGAAGAGCAGGTGTGTGGTGTGGAGCAGTGCCTGCAAAGTACAGTGAGGCTTTTGCCCAAAGAGCACGCTACGCTGCATCGGCTCAAGGGATGCGCCTGTGACTGCTCCTCAGGCCGGGCACACCAAGCTCGAAGCACCCCTGAGTTTAAGCCAGGCCAAAGCACAGGCAGAACTGAAATCTGACACACTGAGCAAAATGTGGCAGTGGAAGAAGGAGCAGCAACAGCAGCTCTGTCAGATTCCTCTCTGAGGCAGGGCCTGTAGGACCGAGAGGTGACAGGAAAAGCAACCGTGCCTAGAAAGGCTGCTTCAAATCCCCACCTGCTGGGAGAATTCCTTGGCTCCCGCTTCCCAGAGGCAGCACAGGTCATGAGTCCATATTAACTTCTGAATGATCTTCATGTTTTCTTTTGTGCTACTCACTTCAAGTGTTCAGTAAGTTCCACGTTCTCAGGATAAAAGGCACTCACAAAGGAATTTGTTACTGCTCTCTGCTCGTTTTTCAACAACATAGGTAGCTGAAACTCAGGAACAACCCCCAGGTTTTGTTCTACTCACATTTTACATATTGAAATAAACGGTATGTTTGATATCAAGTTTTGTCTGTTAAACTATTATCTTATTAGAATCTTAGCATGCAAAAAAGCTTTATGGTGAAAAGTGGACAATAAAGGATACTGTGAATTATGAAAATACATTTTTGCACAGTACCTTGCAAGTCTGCTGAGTGTTGCTAGATACAAAGCTCTGGTCACACTGAAGCAAATTAAAACTTCAGGGATACAGCTCTGGCTCTGATGATGCCTACAGGCTATCCCTTAAGAACAACCCCATTAAAGCGAGGAAGATCCTTACCTGACAGCAGAGAGATGATGGAGGAACACCAGAAGAGAAGGAAGGAAAAGGTAACATGGCAACATTAAACACTCCTAGGAAAAATGGGAAGAACTGCTCTGGCACTTCTCGGAATGACAGGCCATAGGGTGGATATGTGAAGGAATTTATTTCCATGAAATTGCAATGTTTCAAAAAAACTGCACCAGATTTCCAGCAGCAGCCTGGAAAGTCTCTGTTAGGTGCTGCAAAATATCTTCCAAATGGTTTGCAGGGTGGGCCCTTGCCACTAACTTAAATCAGTTTCTGTTACAGAAGACAAAATACTTGGTCTGCCATGCACTGTTGGGGGGAAAAAACCCCAAACAACCCCAGATCTGCTCCTGGGGAAAAAAAAAAAAACAGAATCTGGTTTCTTTCCTTGAACCCAGCCTTGCCCAGTCAATGTGGGGAGGCTTTTTGGTTTCTGGTGGGCTTCTGTTGCATTTCTACATTGTGCTTTTAGGGAGGCAGCATGGGTGGCTGTGGTCGCTCAGCACAAGGCTGCTGCCCTGGTCAGCAGGTGTTCCATTAGTCCAGCTGCTTTGGTGACACTGTCTCAGGCTGGTGGAAGGCTGATACATGCCCTGCTAACCCTTGGCCTTGCTCTGTTTTGTAGTACCTGCTGTCTGCCTGAAAATTAGTCGTTTTTTCACCTTTCTGGAACAGGGTCCAATGTGGCTCTTCTGCTCTGCTACATCTGAACAGGAAGGAGCATTTTTGAGGGGTCTGCAAGATTTGATTTGAGGTGCAGACTTCCAGGACTTCTAGCATCACCATTTTAAGTCCTGGATTTTACAGAAATTGTCTGGGGCCCAAATACACCCTGGCTGTCAGGTCAGACTGAGCTTCCTTTACAAAAAATTATGAAACCTTTTCAGATTATGGCATAGAAAAGAGCTGAACATGAAATTATGGGACCGTTAGCAATCAGTAACTGGTAGTTTTGAAAAGCTGATTTACTCTGCAACGTCATCACTCTTGGAAATGTGGTAAATGTCATGTCAGTGTACATGTGATATTGGTTTTTTTTTGTTGTTTGGGGACCGATTTGTGTCCTTGAAGTGTTAGAAGCTGTGATCACAGCTCCTGCACCCTCCTGCTTACAGCCCCGTTCACAACTTCAGCCCGTATTAGCTCACTAGATGGATCGTTCACGTTTCCTTTTCTATTTAAGGTACAAAAAGTCTGTATAAGAGGTTCAGACCTGTACTAACATACTGAACATTTTCTGACAGATTTTGGTAGCAGCTACACATTTGAGTAACGGTATTCACATGACTTGTGCTGCTGTTGACCTCAGGTTCAGCTGTACTGCAGCTTATTTGGGAACTTTGTCACATCACAGTTGTACTCCAGTCTGGTTATGATATGGCTAGGAAACTATTTTATACTTTAATAATGTAGAGATGCAAAACCCCACAGGTGACAGAACTGAGCAAGACCTGTACACGTCTGCCCGTGTGTTCCTGGCCTTTTCTCTGTTCAAGCTGTTACAGATGCCTTCTCCCAGCCATCACTGATGGTACTCTTCTTGTCATGACAGATGACCATGTGCCTTGGTGACTGGAAGGAAGCGACAGGCCTGTCTGACAAACAAGTGTTCTAAGCTGCTGTACAGCACCCACATCAGCTCTGGTACCTGGGGGTGGGCGGCTAATGTTGAGAAATCACTTACAATCAATGGTATGTGGAGCATGAACAGGCACTAACGGGGAACAGGCCCAAAGCTCTGCTAAGAGCTCTGGAGACAAAAACAAGGCGGCTTGAGAATCTTTAAATACATTCAGAAAGCAAAATCTTCTAAGAAGCTTTAAGAAAAAATAATCACCACTCAGATAACCGACTCAATTAAGGCAGGTGTTAAATTTGGAATTTCAAGGAAGAGCAATTATCTGATTGACAGGGTGTTAAAAGCTGAAGTTGTACTTTCTTAGGAGTCTGCAATCCTTGGCATTTGTTCCTCTTTCAAAGGTTTTATTTACAGGTGTGCTTATCTTGCAAGCATCAGTCACTTCTCCATTGAGTTTGATTTCTTTGACTTGTGATAAAACTTCTTCTCTGTGACAGTCTTACAGCTGGAAAACCTTGAGGGAAAAACCTGCCAGACTTGCAGCTCAGCAGGCCCTGAGACAAGCAACACCTCTGCTACAAAACACACATTTTATTTTGTTTTGTGTTGTACTTAGCCCAGAGAGCAGGTCTTTGCAAATGCCTCCAAAGCGTGTACCTGAAGGATGCTTTAGTTCACGCCTGCTGCTGACACACAGCTGCTGCCGTGCAGCTGCTGCCGGCTGCTCCCTTTACAGACAAAGGCTGCAGTCAGATCAGCTGGAGATGTGACTTGCTGTTCTAGTCTGGCAGGAAACCCCTCTCAGCTCTAACAGTGAATATGCTTTCTGAGGTAAACGTTTTCAGGAGTATCACTCAGGCTTCTGTAGCACTTGTAGCTTGTGTAACCCTTACATGTTTGATCTTGATCCACACATGAAAGGCAAGGGGATTGTGTTACTTGCTGCATCTCTCTGTCTCTAACACCTTGTTCCAGCGAGGTTCTGATCCTTCTGAGGTTATTTGGTGCCACAGCAAGCAAGAATGAACAGTTTGGAAGTGAGATGGGAGATTCATCTAGGCTCAGAGAATTGAAATATTCTGACAGCAAGATTAACAGGCCAGGTCAGCAGAAATCCTAAAGCTGAAGCTTACTTGTACATGCCTTTATTTACATGAAAATAAATATGCACAACTGCAGTATTTGCTTGCCCTTGGTCTTCCCTTTGCAGGATAAGTTAGATCTGCCAAGCCCCACGTGCTCTCCCAGTGGACACAGTTGCTGTCACAGTCTTTGCCCCACCAACAGACAGACTGGCTGTACAGACTCCACTTTGCATCCCAGGGGCTCTGTTCAGAGAGGCCTTCCAGCTTAACCCCACCTTGAAACGGGGAGTAGGTATTCTATATACACCTCTAGATCCAAGAGTAGCTGGAGAGAAGAGAAGGCAGGTAATCTAGTCCCCCAAAATGTAAACATGTTTTTATTTAATGCCTTTCACTCATCGCAAGGTACTTTTTTCCCACCCCCAGCCCCCAAACCCAGATGGCAGCATAAGGCACCGTGTAGACACATGCACAGTCCACATACCATCTATGTAAGATTTAAAAACACAGCTATAGTTCTTACCAACAGTACCGTGTGTCCTCATTATAATGTACACAATATGATTTTACACAGAGTTTGTTTTGGAGAAATGAACTATTAATTTAGAATGGTGAGACTTTTTCAACCCGACCACCCCAAAAAGCCAGATTAGAAACACAGGTACAGAGCTTAATACCAGAGTAATGAGATTAGTTCATAAATTAAAAAAGAATACCAAAAAAAAAAAAATCAACAGTTTCACTCATTTTCAGAAGGTCCCATGTGATGTGATGTACTGTGCAGAGACTTCTTACTATGTCCTTGTCCCCTTTCAAAAGCCAGAAAACTGGCAAGTAGCCCCCAGCCTTGTGGTGCTTGCTGTTGATGGCAAAAAGGCAGTTACAGCTCTACGTGTCCTGCTCAGCCAGGGAACCGCAGGGCCCCCAGCCAGTCATCTGGAGGCTCTTCCTCTGTCCAAAGGAAGGAGGGCTCGATACAATGTTCTTTGGCTGCAAGTTCTTAAAGGATTCCACTGAAAGGGTTCTCCTTCAAAAAAAAGAAAAACTGCAGTTGCTGTGGGATTTTTTTACTACGAAAATGTTGAGGAATAGGTGGAACCGATGTAATAATTTGAGTGAAGCCCTCACAGTGCTAAGATGTTGGGGTCTGCTACAAATATTCAAGTTCCAAGGCGTGCCGAAGAGCTTCCAGGTCAGCGTGACAAGAGATTCTCCAGAATGGCATGTTGTGCTAGAGTGAAACCAAAAGAGGGTATTTTTTGGTTTTCGTTTAATACTGAGATCAAAACAACTTTCTTAGTCTGCACCCTCAGGAACAGAGCTTTGTACTTGGGCCACCAGGCTGTCAGGATGTCACAGGCAAGGAGGCATATGTTGGAGAGGAAGGAAGGAGGGGAGTGGGAAGTGTCTTATCTGCTGATAGGTTTCTCCTATGCAGAGCCAAGACTTAGGAGTGTCCTGCTTCAGAGATGATGGAGGACACCAGTGGACTTTCTGAATGTATCAGCTACTAAACTTGACTCTCCCTTTTTTTTCTCCCATGGGTTAATTAGGAATGATTTTGGAATTGGAATATTTCTAGAAGCAACCTTAGGCGAACATCACTAGTGCAATCTGTTGTCACTGTGTCACAGACAAACCATATATAGAATAAAAAGAAGTTATTAAAATTTGTAAAAATGTAAACAAAAGAATAAAACACCACACCGAGTCAAAATGCTAACAATTCCCTTTCCAAGTTAATTGGAACAGTAGGTCATTTTCTGGAAGTGTAGGAACTGGTATCATTGCTCAGATCAGTGACTAACTTAACGTAGCACTGCTGCCTCAGAGGAAGGGGTGATAGGCTTGTAAGACAGTATGTCTAAAAAAAACCTCTTCTACTGGTTTTGAGAGACTATCTTACATTCTTCTCCTGCCTCCCTGTTCTTCAATTTATATTTACTGTGATAAACCTTGAAGTCATGTATACAAACGTCCAAGCTCTACCCAGCCAGTTCCACTTGAAATCTTAGCATCTGGACAAAATCTGGAATGGTCAACTACCTGTGACTTACTAGATCTTTATAATATCCTGATTAACCTCTTGAAAATTGTGAATATGCTCTAGGAAAACAAGACTTCCATCTGAAAAAGGACAAAGTATCAACTTTACGTGCTGTGAAATAAATGCAGTTCAGTTACTCAGGGGACCTGAAACTGGAATCAGGTAAGGTATAAACAGCTCTCTGAAGGCACCACTATAACAACGCAGTTCTGCAGTCATCAGCAGTGGATACGATCCCTGTGGTTGCTTGCAAAGAGACAACCTCAAAATAATTAGAACTTGCTCTTAGTTGTTAAATACAACTTTTCTTGGTCTGTTCCGGTGTGCCTGGGGTTTGAGATGGATTTGTTTCTTCTCCAAAACAGTTAAAGCAGTTTTATTTTAGATCCAAGACAAAGCTCATTTCTGTGCTTAAGATTTTATAACAGCAACTGGGCTTGTGATTTGCTTAGCTTCCTCCCAAAATACTAGTCTCTGTACAGTATGTTCATGGTAAGTAACATATAGAAAGCCTTGACTGACAGAGCCTGCTCCCCTTCCAGCACAGCAATAACATTTCTGAGTATTTTATCACTGTAAATAATGCAACTGCAAACACACTGCTTCTGGATTAATAGCTTAGGCAAAGCTTTAGAGACTATATACTTCCTAGAGAGACAGTTCTGATGAAGTGAGATGTGCCTCTTCCAAGTGCACCTACCTGTGTAAAAAAAAACTTCAGTGGTTCCAGATATTTATTTTAGAAAGTGTCTGTTGACACTCCTCTAATGTTTAAATACAACTCAAGCTTCCCTCTGGTATGTTGCCCATCAGTAAACAAATGTTTCCTTCCAGCTATTTATCAGCGTGTGTAGAGACAGCAAACACAGACATCTGAAGCAACTGGAATCCATTGCTCTGCAACTTCACTTTAAGGGGAAAAAGTTATTTCCTTCTCCCTCCTCCTTCCCTGGTTGTTATTAAACCCCTTCCATTCAATTATCTATTTTTCTTTCTTAAACAAGAAGAAAACTTGGCCTCCCCACACTCCTGCTGTTCAGCATTTACAGACTCATCACTACTCAGACAGGTGAAGAAAAATGACCCACTAAAATAGAGATATTATCAGTGCTGCCAGCAGAACAGAGAAAGGCTCTCTCCCTGCAACACTCCACCTTTTTGTGTGTGTACAAAGCTCAGGTGTGTAGAAGCCCTGACTAATGATTGTCATCAATCAAAGGAGGTGACAGCCCAGCAAAGAATGTGCTCTACTAATGGGAGAGCTGCTTAGGCCAGGAGACACAAGCAAGAGAGCTCTTGAAATCCTGGCATAGAAGATTGCTGAACCTTCCAACTTCTCCCTACAGCCAGAGAGCCCTCAAAGGCTTTGAAGCAGTTGTGTTCACTGACCCACTGCCTTTGAAGTATGGCACAGGGCTGTCAAAAGCAGCAGGCTATTATCACTTCATTCCCAGTCATGCATCTTGGACTCTTCTCTGACAGCTCCTTAACCCTTCACAAACTGGAGAACCAGCTGCAGATTTAGCTAGTTTTCCAAGGTGGACATGGGTATTGTTGCTTCTATTTGCCATGGGGAGCAAACTATAAAAAAGAGGGTTTCTGCTGTTTTGAAGATGACCTGAGACACATTCTGGGGATAGAACATGTGCCCACCACCTTATTTGCTGTGATCTCTGTTCCTGGCCTGCGCACCCAATGAGCTCAAATGTGTTTGGAAAGTCTTTGCAGGATTTTCATTCAGAATGGGATGTCACAGTACAAGGTTCAGCTATACAACTGAATTCCTGTGATATAATATTTTGTATATCACCTGAACTACTACAGTCACCTGTGTACCTATTAAAAATTAACTAGTTGCTGAAGGTGGCCCCATGCAGTCAGTTCCTGCTTCTCAACTCATGCCATGCTCCTGAAGCAAATGCATCTCAATCATATTTCTGCACTCACATCAGGAGCACAAGACCCAGGATGCACAAAGACATCTTGCACACAATGCCTGCCATTAACAAATTGTACTCCTGCCCCCATAATGCCAAACAAATGGGGATTCCAGTAAGGTTTCATGTTCTACAGTTTACAAAATTAAAGCTTCTGCTATTCAATTTCTCACGTTGTACAATCCAGTTGATGTATCTGCCTGCTTTCCTTCAAGTCTTTGGCTGTTGCTCCCCATGTGTGTACCACTCCTGCACTGACCTCCCACACGCATGGCAGGAGGAATTCCTCACTCTGTCTCTAGCCCCTTCCCCTCCCACCCAGTCACTGTAAGCAAATGTGAGCTTTAGTCTCCTCAGATTATGCTTTTATCTCTTCCAGGCTCCAGGGTTCCAGCTCCTCTCCTCTTACAAAACAAAGAAGCTTCCACTGGTCCCTAACACTGCATTTCTCCTTTCCCAATCAGTGGACAGACACTAATGACTGGAGGACTGGCTGAATGCACAGGCTGGTCCACTTAACTCTTTCTAAGGCTACCTGTGTCCGTGGGCCACGTCTAGGCAGTACGCATGAAATACTGCCAGGGCTAGTCACTCCTGACCATACTGCCTTCACAGTGCCTGTTCTACTTGGTATTCAGTACCTCTTCCCAATTTCATCTTGCTTATTAAATTAATCACATTGACCCATACATCACTGATAAAGGCAGCAACTTGGCAACAGGCCCTTTGGTATTCACTCTGGTGGTGCTACACTCTATGATCTCAGTGAGTCATAAATACTCGTGTATATATAAATTCATATGCTAATAAGTAATTCAAAACTACATCTGATAATTTGGAATTTACAAAAGCAACATCTGTAGGTCAGAAACACACCCTTCTTGCCCATCTGAGATCACACACTGGAGCTTCCCTTTTCATGTGTTTAAAGCCATCTTTATTAAGCATGACTGATTCCTGGAACATGTGACACAGTGACTACCTGAAAAATTGCACTAACTGCCAGAGTGGGGGGGATTTACAGTATGAAATTCCTCACAAAGTTCTTGAGTGTTTTGTATCTTAAGAAGTGAGACCAGTTGTAAACTGTTTCATCAAATTTTCATCAAATGCTTAAGTAAAGAAAGGGTCATTGAAATGAAAACGTGGAAGAATCCAGCATGGCATCCATAAACTGTACCTTTTTTGCTCCCTGTTCCTCTTCAACACCATCTCCTATTACAATGTACACGGCTTTCCTTCCGAACCTTTGCATTATTCTTTCAAAACAGCTCTCTTTCCCTAAGCAACAGAAAAGAAGACACTTTTTTTTTTATCTGGACAAAAGAGCAGGTGGGGCTGACACTTGGGTACTGGAAGTGGAGTTGGGACCTAGCTGAACATGCTGCTACATTCTCCTTGTTCTCTTGAAATTAGAACCTAACTGAACCTACATCTGAGATGGATTCTCTCCATCCCATGACAGTTACTAGCATTTTCTTTACCAGCCAAGGCCTTCAAGTGCTCCCAGTTTTCTGTAAGCTTTGTGATTTGATGCACTGCTTAGACTGGCAGTCAGTTGACTGATGTGACACTCATGGTATTCAGTTTTAAGAGCTCTTTTTTGCGCATTCTGGTTGAAATAAAATCATGAAAATACAAACCTCAGAGGCTCAAACGCTTACACTAGAAAGAACAGACCTCAAAAAAACCCCTAAGCCAATCCTACCAGTATTTATTCCTCACACAGCTTCGTGAAGTTCGTTCAGCCCACTTGACCCCTCTGCAAGACTAAGAGGATTCACACAGTTTTTGTGTATGTAACAGGTCCCACCAGACTGCCTTCCTCCTAGCTGGGTGCAGCTGAACATCCCACATGCAGCAGATGCTCCATAGGGTGGGTATTTTTCAGGCACACTCCTCCATGGAGACGCTTGGGAAGATTTTTAATTTTTTGGGTTGGTTTTGTTTGTTTGTTTAATCCATACTAGCTTAAGCATGGTCAGTCAGGATGTGAATTGGAAATGTGTAAACATGGAGCTAAAAATAAAGCTCATTCATTGCTTGTTGTGATCAGGTTGGACAGATGTGCCTGACTTAGGGACAAAACTTCAGTTTATCTTTGGTGAGGCCTTTTAGTTTGGTCTTACCTGTTTTTGTTGCACTGTAAATGTTTTCAATGGGGAAGACTGTGCCCAGTCCATAGAGAAGCACTTTAGCAAGAGCTGGTATAAGCTGAGTTGTTGTGACCAGCACATTCACACAGTTAGGCCTAGAAAACAACAGTTAGCAGCAGCAGCAGCAATCTGTGTTTCTCCCTTTTACTCTAGACTGAAAGACAGTTGGAAGCAAACCTTTCCTGCAGCTGGAAGTTCCCAAGCCTGGGGGAGGTTACGCAGCTAGAGGCAGATGATGTGAGTACTGGTAATGGCTTTTTTCAACTTAGCAGAATGAAAAAACCCCATAAAACAAACTAGCACCAGTGATGCAGCCTTACTGCGTGCACGCCAGCATCTATTCTGAAGGAATTTAAACACCATGTAGTAATGTCCAGGGTTCTTCAAGTGAACATGTTCAGGGATAGAAGGGCTCTTTTCTACCTTTCCTACTCTTTTGTAGGTCTGCTCACATGAAAAGAGTGCCGCAGATAAGGTAGCCAAGGAAAGGCAAGAAAAAGGATCGTTTTCTCTTTTGCTCAGTTCATCATCTCAAGCTCACCCCTTGATAATACAAGTCTGGCAAATGTAGAGACTGGCCTCCCACAGCTTTGGCCAGCAAAGTCCTATAAATGCATCTCGATTTGTTTACAGGGTGGAAAAAAGGGGAAGCAAAGGGGATCCTGGATCAAGGCTGGAGGCAATTCCTTACGCTGTTCTTACCGGGAATGTATCAGATTCAGCGCCTTCAGAGCATGTGTGAGCCAGAGATCAGTCAGTGCTTCGAGTTCTGCTCTTAACTGCAGCCAGGTTTCCCTCTTCGGAGCTCCGATTAAACCTGTAAGCAGGGAAAGCATCTCTGCAGGAGCACAGCAAGGGGGCCGCAGGGCGTTGTGTGCAGGACGGAAGGGCTCCCGTCTGCCCGCAGGGCCCGGGCCGGCTCAGGGCTCTCCCGTCTGCCCGCAGGGCCCGGGACTGGCTCTGGGCGCTCCAGTCTGCCCG